CACACACACAGATAACATTTTTCATGATCTTTTCTATGTACCACCATTACTCAAATCATTTTTGTCTGTTGTACTAGCGATTGCATGCTCGCTAGTGCCAATCACTGGTACAACATGAGGTAATGCCAAAGACTGTACTCTTGACCCCTCACCAATGAGAACTGCATCAGTGCCCAGGATGTGGCGTTCCATGAGAAGATCCGCTCCTCGCCACCCGTAGTGTCCCTCTCTTCTGTTTACCTAACTGCAAGCCTGTTCCTAAAGTTTCAGTTTGCAATCATACCGACACAGGAGAGGAAAGTAGAGAGCAATGAAAATCCCTTTAGCTTAGGTAAACCCTTCTCTGCAGTTGATAATTTTAGTGTGAGATCATCTTTCTATTAATAAGCAATTGCTTATTTCATTTATCTCTGACAAGATTCCAGTTCATGGAATCCTATCCTGTTTGCAGAATGGGTGATTTCAGAAGAGTATTTCCTTGGAAGGATCAGGGGCAAAGGGGGCCAGGAGGAACCAGAGGCCATTGAGAAAGGGTCAATAACATAAGACAAACTGTCCCTTTGTTGACTAAAACAAATTAGAGCTTCGATTCCCGTGGTCATCCAGATATTCTTATTTAGGCCTGCTTGGGTTTTTCTCTCTGGCTTCATTGCTGGACAATCCACCAGGATAAAACAAACAAATGCAAAAGTCTTCTTTTTTTCAAGCCAGTGACCTAAGCTAGATACTGCTCAGAGAATTCTGCTAAAGGGCTCAGTCCAAAATAATTAGAACAATTAGATAAATACACCCACAAATATGATGTATTTGTCCTCTTGCTGTTTCAGTTACAATTATTACAAATCAAAACAAGAGGAATGGAACATGCTTGGGGCCAAGGTGTTCTGATGCAGACCACCAAAGCAAAGTCTATTTGCCTTTGTAAATGTAAACATTTAACTTGAAACAACACAACAGGAGATTGTTAACTCTCAACCTTTCACTTAGATTTCCGTTTGTTTGAGGCTTAAGCAATTTCATGGTGCAAAGTCTCTGACCACAGACCCCAGCTTTCTGGTAAATCCTCTGGGGGTGACATGGACTGGGCTTGTAGATCTTTCCACCTGTCATTCACAGGGAACCAATCTGTTGAGAGGTGATTCTCCAGCCCATCAGTGAAGCAATGCAAAATGAGATTTTCTTGCTCCAACAGTTTATACAAAGCAAAGAATAATGTTTATTGTCCAGAATGTGTATTGCCCTGAAGCTTTTATTTTATCTCAATTATTCAGATGTCTTGTTACAATATTTTCATTTGAGTTATGAGGATATCTGCTTACATTTCTATACATGCATAAAGGTGTAGCTTTACATGATTTTTCTTTTCTTTTTCACCTCTACCTCAATGATTGTTTTTAGTAAAACTGAAATGGAATACTAAATTTTATAAATATAGAAAGATTTTGGTGGGAAGAATGTAGATTTATGATCATTTGTTAATGTCAAAGTAATCCTTACATATGTAGCAGCTTACATAAATTTCCTGAAATTACAGAAAAAATAAATTCTGGTTTTAGAAGTTAATCAAGTTTTTTTAAAGAACTGGCTCATAGGACAAGCTTTCAGTACACTGTTGTCTTGCTATTTTCCAGGGTAGCCCTCAAGTTTCTGAGGCTTGTGATTTAGCATTTTAATGTAATATTGTGTGTGTGTGTACATGCAGAGATATTTTTAAGTTCATAAACAAAATGTATAAGACATACATATAATTATAATATGTAATTATAAATATAAATGTATAATTTAGTAGCCTTTATATTTGCTTATGTGAATAAATTAAATTTGTTGTGGAAATAATCAAGTTAGAGGACACTTTGACTTGCTCGGTGTGTGTGATAATATATTAGGCTAAGAAAAGGTGTGTGTTTTTTTAATGGGTTTCCCAGTTACTGCTTATTCAGACAGAAAACATGGAATTGTATGCATGGGTCTCTTTCTCTGTATCTCATTAGAGCAATTTCTCTTCACCTCTTGTTTTTCCTCTTTGTCTCTCTATTGTGTGTCCGCTTGAAAGAAGTCTCATCTGAAGGACAAGAGTTGCACAAGAAACCCTACTGAGACTCTTGCCATTGGCCAGGATGCCATAGTGCTTAGAAAGAAAAATAGCTTCACAATCAGTTTCCGATGGATCCTCTGGAATTATGGCTGTGGGAGGAAAAAGAGGGAAGTTCAAAGACTTTAGCCATAGACTCTGATAAAACATAAATTCCTATATTGCAGAAAAAATAGACTAAAACACAGTGTGACCCTGGTTTTTATCATATTTACAAGAACAAGAAGCACACATTCATGTTTGGATGGCATAACTACAAAAAGGGAAGACATAAGAAGGATTTTAAAATCCTGACTCATAGGAAAAGCTTTTAGTATACGGTTGTCTTGCTATTCTCAAGAGTCCGAGGCTTGTGATATAAAAGAATTGCCATCTTTGGAAATTTGTAGAAGGATTGATAGATACGGATGCAGGAAGTGATGGCGTGATGATTCATTACAGATTCATTGGTTGTAAGTACAAACAAGTAGGGTAACCATTTGAAAGGGTGTGGTGATATCCGGATACAAAATGATGGGGTGCCCTTACCTACCATTTGTGTCCCCTTCACAGTTATGGTGGGAATTTGACTGAGATCCAGGGTCTAGAATATTTCATTGATCTAAATGAGTTCTAAACATTGTTTTAGCTGAAAACCTCTTTTCCATGTGGTGGAACACAACAGCTTGTGGGACACAGTTGAATGGAAAGATGAAACATTTCCTCTGGTTTAAGCAATGGTTCAGTCATTAATAATATGCATCCAAGTAAATACACACCATTGGTTTCTCAGTAGTTGATTTCATAAATAAAATATTTTAATGACCAATTCAAGAAGTGCCCTTAGAGTAAATACTTAAATGCATTTGAGTTTGGTGCATACATTTGAGATTTGAATGTAATAGACTTTCACAGTCTTTCCTATCATTTCTTTAAAACGCATTCATTTTAATCAGCTGCCTGGCTAGGACAAGTTAGAGGACACTTTGACTTGCTCGGTGTGTGTGGTTATGTAAGTATAGGCATAACTATAATGTTTTTGGGAGAAACTACTTGATTATTTTAAGCAATAAGTGTGAAGCAGATATATTATTTCAGAAAGCAACAATGATTATAAAGAGGTAGAAAGTTAATTCTGCTTTTAAAGTTGCTTTTTTCCTCACTGTATAAAATTCATTTTGGGTAAAGGCCATGGAAAGTGTTACTGTGGAAACTGTTACTGTGATGCTGGTTGGCATGGAGATAAATGCGAATTCCAGTGTGATATCACCCCCTGGGAGAGCAAGCGAAGATGCACATCACCAGATGGCAAAATCTGCAGTAACAGAGGTGTGTCATTCATACACATTACTATGGATTTGGGAGGCAAACAGAGCTCTTAATTGTTAACACTCCTTTTCTCTGCATTTCCTTCTGTGTGGGAGGAAGTCATCTTTGATAGTCATTGACTTTGATGAAAATCAACATTTATTATACCAACAATTTTCTCTTTTTTGTCTTTTATTGAGTAGAAAACAGAAAAATTAGAAAGCTACTGTCATTCATTAAGCTTCACTGAACAAATAGTTAACATAGGAACTGTAATTTCTTTGGCGGCCGTCCAGAAATAGCATAGTGCAGCTAAAAGGCAATTCTTGTAGATACTTCTGTTAAATGTCTCTTGACTAACAGAACCATCTACAGCATGAGCATCTAATTATCCAGAGAACATTAAAAAAAAAATCTCCTCTTAATGATGAGTCAATTGAAGTCTTGGTTGAAATACAGAATTGACATAGAGTCATTTAACTTTTATATACAATAATAGAAGTGTCATATTGGACACAATATATTTGGAAATGTTATCAAAAGCCATATGAAATTTAGACTAGCCTTAGGCATACATTTAAAAAACATATTACTATTGAAAAAATATAATTTAAATTGAGTTAACTGTTGATATAAACTGTAAATTCGTCAGCTGGACTGATGGATAAAGAGAGTCATGCTGTAGGTGTTCTTTGCCTACCTGATGAAATGAATAAGTGGTCATATTTCCTTCTATAAAAATCTAGAAACTGGAAAAAATATTTTTTCATTTCTATAAGTAAATGATGCATTTTCAGAGATAATACTTCCAGGGAAAACCTTAACACACACCAATTTTATCCTTTTAAAAACTGACGTAGAACAGTAAAATGTGCCACATATCTGAACATAGAGAAAAGAAAGGAAAAGATCTGAACTTGTAACAAAAATCCTTTAAAAGACTTCTCTCTTCAATTTATGTAGAATAGATCTGACTGTATATCATACTAATTCACGTTATGTTTTCCTTTCGTATATAAGGACCTGTTTCTGCTTCAGTTCTTTTATTCAGTAGGGTCCATAGTCACGGTAAGGATGTCAGTGTAAGAAGCTTGAACTGTGTTACAGTGGGAAATAACCATTTAGGTGTTGAAGAGAGAGAGGGGAAAAGTGAAGCTGATTGGACTGTGGAGCAGGTCCTCGTTCTGCAGGGATATGTGAGGTCTGAGGCAGATGTCGTTCACAAACACACATTACTTGCCACCTCTCCATCTCACCTCCTGCCTTCCCTCTCTTCTGGTGCTGAACGTTTTCTGATTTGGAGATCGGGCAGAGGCAGAACAGGAAGCAGCATGTCTAAATGAGGCTGGTAGCAGGTGAGATTCAGGAGTGTGTGAAGGCAGGCGAGGGCAGGCACCACAATGAGTTCCTTTTCCCAGAGCTACCACTTATGTCTCCCCTAGAACTCTCCTTATCATTGCTTCCCCGGTAGGAGAGAGACATTAATCCTGCACATGTCTGCCTCATCTTCCTTTTTAGCCCATCTTTAAGGACCAAAACGCCAAAGTTTTGAACACAGCTCATCGGTGATAGAATAAATGTTCTTTATTGCCCACTTTTGTTTAATCACAATTTCTCACTGGACCCAATTTAACACACACCCAGCCCCCCACATCATGTAACTTATTGCAAAAGCAATGCATACTCATCTTTAAAAATGCAGATAGTAAAGAAGAAAATGATCCATAATCTTAACATACAGATATAACCTCCTTTTGCATTTTGGTACATAATGTTTTGGTCTGTTTTTATTATTTATTTATTTTTAAATTCATTATTTGTATGCTTCCTGACATGTATTTTCTTCTAATTTAATACAAAAATTAAAGCATACTATACATACTAATTTTTAATTTTTTAAAATATATTTTTATTGACGTCAGAGAGAGGAAGGGAGAGGGAGAGAGAGAAACATCAATGATGAGAGAGAATTGTTGATCTGTTGCCTTCTGCACATCCCCTTCTGGGGATCTGAGCATGCAACCCAGGCATGTGCACTAAGAATTGAACCCTGTCCTGCTGGTTCATGGGTTGGCACTTAACCACTGAACCACATCGGCTGGGCTGTAATTTTCTTTTTTTCATTTAACCATATATTTTGGGTATCTTTCCATGCTCACAGAGCAAAACCCAATTTTTACCTTTAATGGCTGCTTGGTAATCCAAGCTACACATTGTACTAATTCTTTTTTGGTTGATATTTATGTCACTAGTTTTTTTCAATAACATAAATGCCATCATATTTAATATTCCTGAATATATACTTTTGTGTACTTTTCCTTTATTGTGGCTAAATTATTTGAAGTAGACTCTTATGCTAAAATTCCCACATTTTCAGAGTACATATTGTGAAAAAAATGGTACATCCAGAGTTGTACTATTTTGTACTTCATACCTCACCAATCTTTGATCCTAGCCATCTTTTCACCTCTGCCAATCTTACATCCAAAATAATTCTAACTCACTATTGTTTTACAGATCCCCCCACCCCCACCCCTTAGTAATCATAGGTTGAGTGGTAAGCATTGTATGTTTATCTATCCTCATTACATCTCTACAAAATCTCTGATTGGTGTTCTTTTTGCCTTTGTCTATTTCACTTTAGGCATATTTGTCCTTTACATATTGGTTTCTAAGAATTGTTTAAGTTTGTGAAAGTAGTTCTTTGTCTTTTGCCCACATATGACTATTTATTCCAACTGTTTGTTTTTGGTGTTTTGTTTGCAACCAAATTTTTACATTTTGATATAGATCTATTTCTATTTTTCTTTATAGTAATTTGCTTTTGGGATTTTGAATAAAAAAGATTTATTTTATGATTTTAGTTTATATTTCTAAATCTTCAATCTAACTAGATTAGAATGTACTCTGATGTGAGAGGTGAGAAAGAAATTTAACTTTATCTTTCCCTCAAATGATGATTAGCTGGTGGCTCTAAAGATGATTATTGATAATTCACACAAAGTAAATATGATCTATAACTGGGCACTTCCCCTTTGGAAATCTACATGTGACCACAGTTCTATTTCTCTATCTAATCCAACATATTCTATAACTTGAGCTCATCCTAGCTAGCAAAACTTATCATTGGGTTTCCTTACATGCACCTTCTGCTCCAGGGATTCCTTAGGATCCCCACACCCATCCCTGCCCTTTGCTTATTCTTGCTTTCTTGACTTTTCTTGATTTGTTCTACTTCTAATCGATCCTAGAATATTTCCCCATCTCCCTACATATCCAGACCATCTACCCTAATTACTTCAGCCCACATTGATTTCTTCTCCCCCAAACTCTTACAGTATTTCTCACAGTATTTATGTCCTAGTTTACAAAATGCTAGTACTCAGACGTTTATTGTTTGCTTATTTTTCTTTCATTAGCTTTCTTTTTGTCAAGTATATTGGGAGCTTCTTGAGGAAAAGGATTTTATCTTGTGCTATTTTAATTTTGGGGGTATTATCTTTGAGACAAACCAACACAGAGCTAATGACATATTCCACAATTCCATATAAATATTGACATAGATAATAAATTTTGTTTATTAAAAGAATCTCTGCTATCAACTTTAGATGGAATTTTCCTTTGTAGAATAATTTTTTCTGAATACATGTATTTTTCAAATATAAAATAAGTCACAGATTTTTTAAAAAGTAATATATAAGCCTTTTTCTTTCATGAATGTTTCTCACTAGACTCACATAAAAGCATTTTCCCATGTAGGGACTTGTGTGTGTGGTGAATGTTCTTGCCACGATGTTGATCCAACTGGAGACTGGGGAGATATTCACGGAGACACCTGTGAGTGTGATGAAAGGGATTGTAGAGCTGTCTACGACAGATATTCTGATGACTTCTGTTCGGGTAAGTGCTCTCTAAATTCCTATTTAAAATTTTAAAAATATTCATTTTCCTATTTGAAGATTCATTCTGATTCTCACAGAAACTATAAAGGAACTGAATGTGCATTCTGAAACATTGGATATCCACAGCACTCCTATTAGTCACTTGGAAACCTTTAAGATAATTCACACTTTGAGCAAAGACTGGAGAGGAAAAATGCATCACTCTCTTAAAATTAGTCTAATTTCCAACCAGGGAAAGCCATTAGCTCTAGATATCTATTGCTTAACTCAGAGAATTCAAAACTGGCAGACCTTATGACAACTAACAGAATAGGTACCATGATGACAAGCTATATTCATATATTGCAAAACTTAGGATAATACATCTCTCATGGATATTTTAATGCATTAATACTTCAATATAATTTACATACCAAAATTATTCTGCAAATTAGTTTAAATTGAATATCATTAGTGGATTCAAAAAATTGTTTCATAAATATTTATTGAGGAAATAGTATTTGCCAGGGTCTGGACTGCATCTGGGCTTCTGGGCCCAGCAATGAAGGAGCTAAACATGATTCTTTTTTAAAAATATATTTTATTGATTTTTTAAAATATATTTTATTGATTTTTTACAGAGAGGAAGGGAGAGGGATAGAGAGTTAGAAACATCGATGAGAGAGAAACTTCGATCAGCTGCCCCCTGCACACTCCCTACTGGGTATGTGCCCGCAACCAAGGTACATGCCCTTGACTGGAATCGAACCTGGGACCCTTCAGTCCACAGGCCGATGCTCTATCCACTGAGCCAAACTGGTTAGGGCTATTTTATTGATTTTTTAACAGAGAGGAAGGGAGAGGGATAGAGAGTTAGAAACATCGATGAGAGAGAAACATCAATCAGCTGCCTCCTGCACACACCCCACTGGGGATGTGCCCACAACCGAGGTACGTGCCCACAACCGAGGTACTTGCCCTTGACTGGAATCGAACCTGGGACCCGTCAGTCCACAGGCCGACGCTCTATCCACTGAGCCAAACCGGTTAGGGCTAAACATGATTCTTGACTTTATGGAGCTTGACATCCAAATGAAAAGGGATAAATATATGACCTGCCAGAATTTTTAAGGGTTCAATGGGGAAAAAAATAGATCTGTCTGCAAAAGTGTCATTTAGCAAAAATGGATTATGGGTGTTCAGCCCAGTTAGGTTTGATAATCCAGAAGGCAGAGACATATGCACAGACATCTCTTTAAGCTTGACTTCTTGGTTGGTGTACATGGATAGGAAACACCACTGGTCTATTCAAAGCAAAGGGAGATAAAAGAGCTGCCCTATCTAAGTGTGATTGTACAACTGCAAAGACCTCTGGCCTCGTTGAGGGGAGCCTGTTGCTTAAACTTCCCACTATGGAACGTTTCCTCTTCTGATTAGCCCTGGTGTTCAGGAGGATTTCCTAAATATTTCAAGAATCCTGTTCTCTTGAGGGGATGATGCTCTTTTCAGATTTTTCTATTATTCATTAATATGAATGTTCTTTATTATCACACCAGCATAATGCAGGGCTTGACTCTATTGTAAAGACAAGGGGGAGTTTGTGATGGTTTTATGCAGTGGAGGGCTGTAGTCACGGATCTGGTTGTGTGGTAAATGTTACTGAGATGGGGAATATAGAAGGAAATGGTCAAATATATCAATCATAAAGGACCAATGACAACCTAACATTTATATTTTTTAGCTTATTAAATATGTGGGTCTAAAGGATCAGAACTGAATGTGAGAATTTAGTGATAAGCACAGAGTTGGTAATGAAAACTATACTGAGACTCAATGAACATCATTTAAGAATGTCATTTTAAGATTATGAGATAAAATATGAATTCACACAATTTAAAATAAGAAAATAAAGGAGATAATCAGGTTTTTTATGTATAAAAAAATGTGTGTGGCTTTCTGATATACTTCCTCCCCCCCTCCCCCAATAGGGTGTGTTCTTCCTTGTTAAATTCATGATCCTGATTTGGGAGTGGGGTAGAAAATTTCAAAATAAATATATTATAGTGATAATTCAGGCTCTTGTGAATTGGTCTATCTCAATTGTGAGGGACTAGGACCATGAGGTAAAGATGGATATTGGCATTTCAGTTGATATCTCTATCCTTTATAAGTTCACAATTCCTGTTGCATGTTACTTAAGCTTAGAATTACTATTATATGTTGGGCAGATAAAAGCCATTAAGAAGGACTACTTGGAATCTGAAACTTTGCACTTCATTTAATCCCTCCCTTTTTCCTTCTATCCCATTTTTCTTTTCCTCTCATTTTTCATTCTTCCATATCCTATGAGATTTCAGACAAGAATGTTAAGCAATTGAGGTTTCTCATGGAAGGCAGCTAGAAGAGAATGATTAACCATTTATATGTGGTTTCCATGCTGTGGGTATAAACAGGTAGGAATGGGCAAAAGTGTTAAGGTAATAGGCTGCAGTTTGAACAATAAGAAATAAGACAATGATTCATGAAATCTGTAATTGTGATTTTGTCATTATTTGAGTGAACTGAATGTGTCCAGTTCTCCATAGCCTGCCTCTCACAGTTAAGTTGAGGCATTTAGGAAAGAAGAAACATTGACAGAGATTCTACTCTGATAGATACTTACCAAGTTCGTTCACATATCTCATTCCATTTTAGGCTCATACTAACTCAGAGAGGGAGACATGATTATCTATATTTTAACAGAAGAGGAAACAGGTTCAAAGAAATTAAGTAACTTGAAAAAGTTTGCACTGCCTTTAAGTGTCATTTAAAAACACATATGGCCCAAATACTCATGTAATTTAATCTCCAAGTGATGAAAATAAAATTCTTCAATTTATTTTGATAAGGAAGAACTATCCTCTTGGTGCTCAAAATTCTTATAAAACTAAACTTCTCTGAACATAATTATGATCTTGGGCAGGCACCAATCTCAGCAGTATTTCTTTATTCTTACTAAATCTGTGTAATTTTATATATAAGGCTTAGTGAATTATTAGTCTTTACAATTTTTCTAATTGCCTAAGTCACACCATAGGAAGGGTGCCATGCAGCTGATTACTGCGTTTGTTAATAGCTTAGTTTTATGAGACAAAAGTAACCCAACTATGTCAATATTCTCTAGTGATTTATGCAAGGCTGGAGTGTAATATGGTTCAGATGAAATGCAGCTTTATTTTTAGTTTCTATTCTTGCCATCCAGAGAGTGGTGGTCTTATTTAAATCCAAAAGAAATCTCCTGATGGATTAGTTTAGGTTGGCTCTTCTCAGTAATACACTTAAATGTAGATATTTTGTGCCTACTCCATCATAGGTATGGAAGTACAAATATTTTAAAACATAACCCTGCTTTCAAATAAACTTAATAAACTTGCTTTATTTATTTTTTCTTTTATTGCTATATATTGTTCACCATTACATGGTGCAGTTAGTATGTATTTAGTCATACACAAACATCACACACGCACACACACAAACACTCAAAGATAATATTATTGACAAAACTTGGGTGCAACTAAAATGGCCAGGACATGACCAGTAATCCTAAAGTATACCAACTGTTACTTCAGTTCTATGAGCTGGTCCTTTGAATTTACTTTCTGATTCTGAAATACGTTTCTATTCCTGATGATTGCTTACCACCCTGGTCTCTTTCCCAAATTTCAATAATTGAAAAATTATGCTGCAGTGTGACCTTAAACTCCATCTTTCAGTTTGGGTTGCCTATCAAAATAATGAAAATATAAGATTAGTCCTGGCTTACAATAGTTTGGAAAATGGAATCATTTGATAGAACCTATATTATGTGGGAAATTTTATCATTGTGGATTACCAAAGCACTAAGGAAAGAAACTGAAGGAAATTATTAAGTATGTTCAGTTTGCATTGTCTTGAAGGAAAATCAATATATTGAATGATTTTTTAAAATAACAAGTACTGGTTAGATCTAATTTATTTCCCCAAACTTTTCTCTATTGATTGTCTTCATATTACTTTGTAAGAAACTACTTGTCAACATCAGATTCCAGTTCATGACCATTTTAAAAGAAAGGAATGTCCACTATAGCAGAAGAGTGTTTGTCTGGAGTGAATGAAACTGTATTTGTCCTGTATTTCTGAGTTTAGATAGCTTAAATCAAAGGAGCACAATAATTGCAAAGAAAAAATCAGTTTTGGTGTCAACAGTCTCTAATATCATGGCTTGAGAGCCTTTTTAGTTTTACCTGCCCAACATTGCCATGATGACACTTGCTGTCTGGTCTTGCTGCCAACTCCCCACCCATATGGTACAGATTTGGCTGTGATCCCATTTACTGTACATACCAGCACCAATACCATGCTGTTCTCCCATTGTGTGTGTGTGTGTGTGTGTGTGTGTGTGTGTGTGAGTGTGTGTGTGTTAATGCATGCTTATAGATCTTTTGAAAGCAGTTCTCCTCATATTTGATATCAGGAATAAATAACAATCTATATCTTTTATTTCTGTTTTGTTATCTTTGCTTGCAGAGTTTAAAGAAATATTTGTTAGAAGCAATGAAATTAGCTCCTGCAGGCATACTCTACAAGCTTGATAAACTAGCATGGAAACATTACATATCTGATCAGAGTGGTGAAATTCACATCTTTTAGTTCTCTCACTTTTAAAGATAAAGTCCAGTGAGATGAGGCCCCAAAAGATGAACTAGTGACACATTTAGATCAGGGACACAAGTACCCTAATTTCTTTTATGCCCTTTCTACTATTTGTGTATAAAATACTCTGATAGTGTATGTTATGGTAGTCTAAAAGATTTTGATGCTAAATAAATCTTATCTTTTCTAAACTTTTCTTTGTATATCAAAACCATGCATTTTCATCTTCTTTATTTTATCTTTATAAAATGATTCCTTCTCTCTCTCTCTCTCTCTCTCTCTCTCTCAACTTTTACAGAAGAATTGAGAGACTAGGAACTCTAGAAGAAAAATTTCAGTTTCCTTTATGACTGGAGGTGAAGCATAAATTCATAGGCTTCATCCTTAAGATGCCCCATGATACTGCATTAAATGTATAGGAAATAGAAGTGCAATATATCACAGGCTACATCTTCCTCTAGTGTTTATAACAGAGCACAGAAATAGCAAAGGATTAAAAAAAATGAAACTACAATCATAACATAGAGCTATTTTTTCTAGAGTAGCTGCATTTTTCCATAATTTTTAATGCATCCACAATTAATCTGACATATTTTGATATTAATTGGACCATATTTTAACTCTAAAAATACCTTATTAATAACTTCTGACTGTCCTCACAAATTTGTTTTATTCAGCCACAATTACTTTAATATTTACATGTGGATGATCCTCAGATAGACAATAATAACCGCTCTTAAATCTGTGTCCCAACGATAGAACTTGAGACTGTTCTCCCTTCAGTCACAGGTGTCCCCAGCACAGGCTCCTGTTTCATTTTAGGTGCCTAGTTATTGGGACCTTCACACTGGGCACGGGCTGCTGCCTGAGGATTTCAAACAACTGCAGCAGCGGGTGGCATCCTCCTGGGTAGGGACTTCCTGGCATCTTAAACCTGCTGGGTATTTTGTTCTAACTTTTACAGCTATTTTAAACTCTCAAGAGTAAAGCTTCCCCCCCTTTCAATCTAACTCTCTTGTTCAGTTTTTTTTTTTGGTTAAAGTGTTAACTGATCTTCCACAAATGACAGCATGTTCTGTACTTTGCCTGCTCTCCTCATGGCAGATCTAAATGTTCTTGAAATGAAAACGCTTTGTCTTCAAGAATTTCAAAGCCATTAGCTTTTATAAGATGGCAGAATAGATTGTACTTTAAATGTTAAAGATTTTGTTTTTAAAACTGTTATTTACCTATGCATTTGTACTACAGCTCTGTTCGCAAATTTTGCTTGAAATGGCTTGAGGGTTGAGGAGAAGAGTAGGAATTTCTTAAGCAGGGATAAATGGCAAAAAGCCACAGGATCTACAACCAATGAAATCTAATTGCTAATAAATTAAACTACTAAAATAAAAATCCTCATATTTGAAGGCCTAAATGATCCTATTCACATGTTATACATACAGGGTATCCCCAAAAATGTATACACACTTTGAATAAGTATTAATTTCAATGGATTAAATCTGAAAAGAAAGAAACATTGGCATTAATAATTATTCAAAGTGTGTATACATTTTTTGAGGACATCATCATTGATGTTTCTATCTCTCTTTTCCTCTCCCTTTCTCTCTGAAATCAATAAAAATATAATTAATTAATTAATTAATTAAAGAAATAAATATAATGAAAATAATGTGTGGGTGACTTCAAAAGATAAGACCCTGTTTCACAAACAAATTATTTTCCATTTCCAGTGCTTTCTCCACATGAATTAATTGTCAAATCCATCAAATATTCTATTTAGGCTACAGCAGGCCAAGACAATCACATGCCTATGGATTTTGATAAATTCACATTTATAGCCCTATAAGCCTGTTAATCATATCTGGAGTTGTTGCCTTTCTTTACCCCTTATGAGCAATTAATATAAATTAGGTATTTAGGATCTTGAGAAAAATGTACCTTTGCTTTAAGGTCTAATATTGTTAACTAAGATCCTGACTCATAACAGTCCCTGTTGAAATGAATTCTGACTTCAATATATTTTTCACACGTATATATATTTTAACTGCTCTCATTGTGAAGGTCATGGACAATGTAACTGTGGAAGATGTGACTGCAAAGTAGGCTGGTATGGGAAGAAGTGTGAGCACCCACGTTCCTGCCCACTGTCGGCTGAGGAGAGCATCAAGAAGTGCCAAGGGAGCTCTGATCTGCCCTGCTCCGGAAGGGGTAAGTGAGGGCTCTCAGGCCTTACCACCGCCTCCTAATCCTATGCGACAGATGAATTCAGCTCACATATATCCTACTGAAAAGATAGCTAAGATTCCTAAATGAGCGATGAGTCTTTTAAGAACTAATAAAACATACAGATGATGTATCAGAATTGTACACTTGAAAATGTATATAATCTTATTAACCAATGTTGCCCCAATAAATGTAATGAAAAAAATCCAAGTTCCATGAATGAAAGTACCTGGAGAAATATAATCTCTCTTTCCCTTTCTGCCCCACATACCCAGACACACTCACATGCTATCAATTCACTGTAACCTTGAGGTTTGTTCAATTTCAGTTCATTTTGACTCAGTTCAATGATACATTAAAAAGAAAATAAAAATGTTTGAATATTTGCTTAAAATTTTCTGAATGAGACCATCTAATAGTTCACTGCCATTTCTGAAACTCAGTAACATTGTATTGGGGAGAGTGTTGGCTTCTGAAAGAGCATTGTATGCACAGATAGTTCTGAATAGGCTTTTGTTGTCTTAGACAGCATGTGGTCTCAGGTGCACTCTTGGTACCAGATCAGTACAAATTGAAGAAGGAGGCATTCATCTAGCGGAAAGCTGGTTCCATTCTTTTTGATTTATCAAAATAAGAAATACAATTTCACCTCTAACTTGAAAATGGCAACAAACATTAATATAAACTATGCTTTCAGAGGAACTGGTAATTGAAGTTATTGTAAATTTTATTCTTGAGAGAGGAAAAGGAATACTTCCTTTGTCTGAATGCTAGATCAGATGTTTAATTTTGTTACAGTTTTCTTTTTGAAAAATAAATTTGTTATTGAGATATAATTCAAGTACCATAAAAGTTGCTTTTTTAAAGTGTATAACTTAGTGGCTTTTAGTATATTAACAGAATTAAGCAACTATCACCACTATCTTATTCTAGAACTTTTTCATCACCACAAAAAGAATCTCTGTACCCCTTACCAGTCATGCCCCATTCTCCTCTCCCCTCAACCCCTAAACACCATTAATCTATGGATTTTCCTAATCTGGGTATTTCATATAAATGGGATTATAAAATATGTGACCTTTTTGTTTCTGGCTTTTTTTCACTTAGGATGTTTTCAAGCTTTATCCATATTGTAGCATGAACTTCATTCCTTTTTATGGCTGAATAATATCCATTTGTATGGATAGGCCACATTTATTTATCCATTTATCTTTTAATGGACATTTGGAACGTTTCTACTTTTCAGCCATTGTAAGCAATGTCCTATAAACATTCATGTATAAGTTTTTGTGTGAATTGTGCTTTAATTTATCTTGGGTTTATACCCATAAGTGGGATTGCTAGGTCATATGGTAATCTAGGTTGAACTTTTTGAGGTACTGTCTTTAAGGTGCAGTCATTTTACATTACCACCAGCAATGGTAAGGTTCCAGTTTCTTCACATCCTCGCCATTATTGGTTATCATCTGCTTTTAAAAATTACTCATAGTTTTCCTCATGTAGAAAACTCCCAAAGTCTCCAAGATTATTTGTACCATAGGTATTTTCCTATACTCTGATATTTGTTCCTAATGATTATAAGTAGGAAGATAAGAAAGATATGGGTAGAGGAATATTTTTATTTCACAAGCATTTCTGACTTACCCCGTCTCTCACTGATAACCCTAGACAAAAACCAGTGTTCTGCCTGCATTAATACAGTATTGCCATTGTAGTGCTTGAGTCTCTCATGCTTTTAAAGTAAGATTAAAAGTTAGTATCTTTCAGACTACTGTTATTTATTTATTTACTCATACATACATTCATTTATTGTTAAAAATAACTTATATAATGGGTAAAAAAACAAAAACATACAAAATATCTCTCAAGCAGAGATATTTTTCATTTGTCTCTAAAATTTTTAATATACTGCTAGTGCAAGAAGGTTCTTTTGGGCTTTATCTATAAATTTTTAATAAACTCTAATAAACACATATTTGTCTCTTACCTTTCTAGAGATTAGCTAATAAATTTAGCTACAATTTGAAGAAGTAGAGTATATCTAAAGTTTGTTATTAAAAAGGTGTTGAATATATGGATTAATTTATAATTTTTATTTCTTATAATTCATTTAAGCCTTTTGAAATACTTTACAAATAAATAATAAGCTTTTCTAGTTTCCTCATGGAGAAATTGAGGTATTGATGAGTGAAGGGATTTCTCAGGGACCATAACAAAATATAAGGATATTGAGAGTGAAGACCAAGGATTTATGGGAGCCAGTACTCAGACCAATGATCAGAGACCCTTCCTTTTTCATAGTGCTACATCTGCAAACTCATTGGCATTGGATGTTTCATAGCAAATAGCCAATATGAAACTTGCGAAGGATTAGTTTTGTAATATATGAGTGACAATTGCATCAGTGGTTACATGACTGAGGAAAGCAATTACAAGGCCCATCGGTTCACAAGCCAGAGAGCCTCTTCAGCTTACCAGCTGGGGCCAAGAAAAATAAATTATCCTGGAAGAATGTACTGAAGTTCCTCAGTAGAGTCCACCTCAGAGGTGAGGTGAAGGCGTTTTCCACTGGAAATTAAATTGGATGACTTGCTTCTGCTGGTGATGACTGAATGTGCGCCTATGTCTTCAAGGTAGGGGAATAATTTACATTATCTCTTACGTTATCTACTTATCTTCTGATTCCTTGTTTTCTATTTCTTATTGGCTAGGAATAACTTTTCATTTAATTTAGTTGACTCTCATGTAGTCAATATGGATACACAGTTGTTCATCTTAATTTCTACTCCTGGGAGTTAGGCATAATGTACAACTTTCTCTATTTTCATACCAATGTTCTGCTAAAAAAACTGAAATGATAGGTTACACATTAGTTTTAAACTCTTCGTGACTTAGAAATACATTTATTATTATTATTGAGGTTCTCTTCCTGAGTCTGTGTCTGGCTTTGTTAAAAAAATGTGAACAAAGGGATGTGTTCATTTTGGAGCAGAAGCTAAAGAGGTGGTGAGAGATTTGCCATCTCCGTTTTCCTCTGGCCCAGGGATTTGGAGTATTTGAGATGGTGGCTGGTTAGCTTGGGTCTCTGAATGAGGATAATTAGCAGAAACCTCTGCTGACACCACCAACGGACCTGTAACAGGAGCAAGAAATAAACCTATCTTTTTTTAATCAGCTCAGATATTGGGGTACTTTGTTACTGCAGCAGAACTCCTGACTCATACTGTCTGCCATGTACAAAATTTAGGGAACACATTTAAACCAAAGCAAACAGACAAGCAAATGCAAATCTCATTTCAAACCATAAAAGACAACTGAGGTTAATAATATATGCACATCATATCAATATCTAAATCAAAATAAATATAAACGTGCATATTTTACAAATGATGTATTTATGCTACTCTATCAACAGCATGTTATGCACACTTACTCAATGGGTAAAATGTTAAGAACATTGCACGCATTGTCTTTTTGCTATCCCCCAAATATAATGAGGTAGGAAAAAGAACAATTATTCTTCTCTTTACAGAAAAAGAAATTAGAAGTTTTAACAGTTTGATACCTTACACAGTAAGTCCCAGAGATGCAAGTTTTAACACAAACTTTTACTACAGGCCCTCCGACTCCAAAGCTGTCAGTTTAGATGATTTACTGGTTCTTTTATTATACCAATTTGCTGAACAATATGTAATGAATATATTTATTTCTTTGTTACAAACATTCTTATGCAAAATCATTGGTATAATTGCGTGGTATTCCATAATATGATTGTAACAAAAGAACTAACTTCCTTTTCTTAGACATCTAAATTGTCTCATTTTATTCACGTTCTAAATATTATACTTTATGCCCTAGCTCAGCGGTTCTCAACCTGTGGGTCGTGACCCCTTTGGAGGTCGAACCACCCTTTCTCAGGGTTCACCTAAGACCATCGGAAAACATATATAATTACGTATTGTTTTTGTGATTAATCACTATGCTTTAATTATGTTCAATTTGTAACAATGAAAATACATCCTGCATATCAGATATTTACATTACGATTCATAACAGTAGCAAAATTACAGTTATGAAGTAGCTACGAAAGTAATTTTACGGTTGGGGGTCACCACAACATGAGGAACTGTATTGAAGGGTCGACATTAGGAAGGTTGAGAACCACTGCCCTAGCTGGTTTGGCTCAGCCTGAAGATTAAAGGGTCCCGGGTTTGATTCCATCAAGGGCACATACCTCGGTTGCAGGCCCCTCCCTAGCCCAAGCCCTGGTCAGGGTGCATGCAGGAGGCAACCAATCAATGTGTTTCTCTCACATTGATATTTCTCTCTGTCTTCCCCTCTCCCTCCCACTCTCTCTGGAAAAATATCCTCAGGTGAGGATTTAAAATTAATAATAATAATAATAATAATAATAAATACATATTGTGCTTTACATTCAGATAGCCTAAAAGTTGCACAAATTCTTAGTATTAATTCTGACATGTAGAATGCATACACCTAAATGAATAAAAATACATTAAAGTTTTTCAATTAAAAATTGCCGCACCCAACAATTTATATTCTCTAGAAAAATTGTGCCAGTATACTCTCCCGCCAGGAGCATATCAGGGGTTCTCTTCACCCTCCAATGCTGACAATTTAAATAATCAGTAGCTCTTCTCAATATATTTTTCTTTTAGTGTTATGCACTTTTTATCAAACTCATTTTATTGACTCCTATAATCGTATTTATCTGCAGGCATTATTATTTAGAGGCTTGTGTTTGAGGTATTTCCCCTTCCTTGATCATTTTTCCTTGTACCCAAGTCATCTTTTTGTTTGGTACTCAAATCCCGCGTGTTTTTGTTGCCTATCCTCTGTGCCGTTTGGTTTTCTTTTATTAGACTTGTTCTAAGAGGTATTGTATATGTTTTAGTCCTTAAACACACAAAGGGAAGGTGTGAAATGGAGCAAGAATGATAAATTGAGGTTAATTATTTAATATT